TAAGTAGGTAACTTCAATTACAATAATCTTTATGCCACGCAATTTTTTCTTCAAAAAGGAGGTTCAACCTCCAGCCTTTGCATCATCGTGATGCACACAACCATATATATTACTTCCTTCGTAAACTAATATAAGAGTGTTTAGATCACTAAAGTAGTGATCTAAACGCTCTTATATTAGTTTATAGAGGGAGTAGTAATTATTAATCAGAGTACAGAAAAACTCTGTCCCTAAATATAAGTCTTTTTAGATATTTGAATATGGGCCGGACTATATACGAAGCAAAATGAATGAATCTACACTCTAAAATATGTCTATGTACATCCGTATGTAGTTAATATTGAAATATCTAAAAAGACTTATATTTAGAAACAGAGGAAGTACAAGACAAATCATGCAAAATAAAAGCTACAAAAAGGAAAACTGTAAGAATCACCGGCAGTGTAACCTACAAAAAAGAAAAATGAGCAGATTCCGCGAGGACTCCAGCCCAACGGGTAAGATTTGTACCTCTACTTCCCACCAAACTTAGTTACACTTAATTGTTAGGTCTAGATACAATTTCCTGGAAAAAGAAAATAAGTTGATATACAATTGAACCTAGAAAAGAAAGTTCAAATACAATCATCACTCAACAAAAAACTTTCAGATACATTCATGACTTGTACAAGGTTTTTTTGGGTTTAATCCATACTTAGCCAAAAAAGGACTTTGTAGAAAAAGGGAAAATTTAGAGGTGTATTATCTACTCATACATACTCTACGTACACATCAAGACCAAAACGCACATGAAATTCCACAAACAAAGAACAAACAGAAGGCAACATAAAAATCAGAAGGATGGGAAATAAGGTTGTAGTTTATCCCTTCTTTCTTGAGAACACAAAAAAAAATGTTTTGAATATTTTCACATCTGTGCATGCATGGTGTGAAGTAATGCAATAGTATTAAAATTCACCTTGTGGAATCTTGCATGCACATAAAATTATGAGTCGTTTCACGATGAAATAACACCTTAATTTATATATCTTCACATATATCCATTCCCTCTGCTCAATAATACATGATGTTTTGGATCTTGCATGTGGTGTCAAAGTGCAAGTATCACTGTTACATTTCTATCAACATGTTAATTAAAATTCCATGAAATTTCTAGTGATGGTATTTCCAGTTGGTCAATATGATTCATAATTCTATATATTCATCCTCGAAGTTAAAGTTTGAGCACACCCATTCTAGGTCGTCATCTATTTTCATTGGAGGCCGCCGGTTTTAACTACCAAGTGTGGCTAGCTTGTTTGTTTAGTTACTAGTTCCCTGCTGCAGATTGTTGTGAATATACTCCTTGAACATCAATCATGCTCAATTTACATGAACTTCCAGAAGTTAAACTTATATTTAAGCTATGGTAGTCAGTTTATCTCATATTAACTTAAGTGTTGGTCTTTACTATGACTTTAGGAGTAGGCGGTGACTAGAACATATAGGCTGGATTTCCCTTTTTGTTTATTGATGGTAGTGGAATCCGATCTAGAACTGGTGCACAAGAAAAAATGTTGACAAAAAAAAAAGGCAAGAGAAACCATCTTTCTCAAATACAGAATACATTATACTCGCTTCACAATTAAGTATACATCATTCTGTACATAGGAATGACCTTTAAATTTTGGCTGCCATCTTTACATGAATATTGTTGTAGACACATTTTAATGATTTCATTTTACATGATTAACATTTTATAGCTTAGTCAGAGTGAAAGTTGCAGAAACTTAACTTGACTAAAACATTGTGCGTATTTATATCACCTAACGAAGGTAGTACTAACCAAGTACATGCATGTATATTTGATGGGACAATATGTATTTAATTTAATTAGATTGTTTTGTTTTACGTGCATGTACTTTACAAGATGCTTTTACATGGATGATTGAAGAAAAGGAATATATATGCACTCATCAAATACCCCTCCATTTTTATTTACTTTGCATATTAGCTTTGACCTAAGTCAAATGTGTTATAAGTTTGACCAAGTTTATCGAAAACAATCTAAACTTTCACAATAAAAAATATTTATCGTATGAAAATATGTTGGAAAATGGTGATTCTAATGGTATTGACTTGGTTTTTTTATGTTAATTTTTTTTGTATAAACTTGATCAAAGTTTAGAAAGTTTGACCCAAGATAAAGCTAATATGCAAAGTAAATAAAAACGAGGGAGTACCCATCATGTAAGATTAGTGTCATCTAGTGCGAGGACCAACTGTTTTATCGTTTAGACTAACATTGTAGATCTCATATGTCTAAGCAATTGTTCATCCAACGCAACTACAAAAGCATCCAGCCATATAATCACAATGGCTACAGAAGAAACTCATGTAGTTGAGATAAGTTTAACATTGTCAGAGTTCCAATTTTTGTTTGCCAATTATCCGCAGGGCTACTGACTAGATCTGTATGTGGTCCTTACTTCAATAGCAGAAGTACGGGAGCTTCTGAACACTGGGGCAACCATATGGAGATGGTTGCGGGCTTTGTTCAACCGGTTTGAATGCGAGTCTAGTCATGGGATCAGTAAAACATATGTGCCTTTATTTGTTGGATGCGGCTGTTTCCTTGTCATATCATCTTTATAACAGATTTAAAAACCTCGCAATAAGAATGCTTTGTGCATCGCTCAATCTAGAGCCTGGGGGTTTAACCTCCTTTTCGAAAAGAAAAAGACACACTATTCTTTCCCTGAGCGCCTATATTAATGCCACACGGACCTAGAACATGAACATATCTTGAAACCAATCTTAGCTTCACATTGACGACTGGTATAAAGCATTATACCCAGGACTACGCAAAGCTGAAGACCGGATCATATATATGTCAGTACGTAAAACAAAAGAAAGGCGAAAGTTCTCTGCCATTCATTCAGATCGAAAAAGCCAAGAGGTTTCGTTTCTATAGTTCCGCAAACCATAAAGCCTCGTCGCCGGTCCTCATCTACAAGGGGTATCATGGCGCTGTGCAATCCCATAAAAATCCGTGTTTGACATGCTACCCCCAGATAGCCGGGGGACCGAACAAAGCAGCCATGCACGCTCATGCACCCCATGCATCTCTAGGCAGCCAGCTACTGATCGATCATCTAGCATAGGCTTAGCAGGAGATACGTGTAGTGCATGAGAGATATAGCCCAAAGATTATTGTCCTTCGCTCTTTCTCAATTCCAGCTTATGTGTTTCTGTCAAAAGGAGACAGATCACTGCATCTATTGCTGTTCGTCTACGTGTGTGTGCATGCATGTAAGCACATGACATGCGTACTCTACACCGAGATTTTTCCAAAGGCTCTATAGCTAATTAGCTACGCCAAGATTTGGATCTAGAATTGTAGAGTCTAGATTCTAGAGTTGTCGAAGTGAGGGGGTTGAGTGTGTAAAGTGCAGACACGCATGGCAGTGCACCGTGTACATTGGCATGCAACGTGTTTGTTTGGGGCGTGGAGGTGTCTGTCAGATCTTTGCTTCCATCGGTCACTAGCTAGGTTGAATGTTCAACCATATAAGGGCTGGGAGATGGATGTATGTTTGGGGCTCTAAGCTAGCTAGCTATCTAGGTTATGAGAGTGGTTAATATGTGATTCATTTGTAACGCCATGCATATGATGCAGCTCATGAAGTGCAATAGTGGTCATACATATCTAGCTAGACGGACTTTCTCAAGCAAAATTAATGTGTGGCCGAATGATTGTACAATACAGAGATCTGGTGAACACATGGTGTTCGAACAGTGGCATGGAGAACTAGCTAAATAAAGAAACTGTAACAAGTGGCAGCTGACACAAGGCAAGGTAAACGAATTGGGGAAAGATCTAGTTTTGTGGAGATATGTGTGCACCAGAACAGTCATGTACACCAAATTGGGCAACGTACGCCTGAAATTTTCGAGCTACGAGAAAACTACTTCAATTTATAGAGAACAGATTATAATGATTGTTTAGAAAAGGTCTCACCTTCTTCTTGTAGGTTTCAGTCTGCGTGGTGATCACATGATACTGCAAAATCAAAAACGAAAACAACAGACAAAAGAAAACAAGGTTAATTAAGATGTTATGTTGTTAAAGGAAGCAATGCATGAGATGAAATTAAACAAGGAAAACCCAACCAGTTCTTTGGAACTCAGAAAAATGATGTCAATTGTTAATTCTATATCCTAGAGATAGAGAACTCGTGTAGATCTACGACCAAAAGGGGCTAGCTACTCAGCATGAAATATGCACGGATTGGACGGCAGATGAGCGAGCTAAAACAGACAGATCCAGCCAGGAATCGAAGCCTAAATCAGTAAATCTGGTAGCTAGGGTTTGTACGTGCATGCCTTCCTCTGGCGAACCTCCTTGAGAGCGGCATCGACATTTTGCTCAAGGTCGCGCAGCTCCTCGAACTCCAGCGCGTCCAGATCTTCACCCATCCTTTGCCTGGGATGGATACAGGAGCAAACAGTATGTCAATTCAAGTCGATCTCGAAATCAAATCAATCTAAATTGCCGGAGCTGGAGAATCCCCATGAAAGAAGTAAAGAAGGAAAGAGGAAAGTGATTGACCTGATCTCGGTGCGCAGGTTCCGGTTGATGTCCTTGAGATGGTTCAGCGTGCGCTGCATATTCTGCGATGAAATCAAACCAAACCAAAGCAAATCAGCCAAAGCGAAAGAGCAGTGAAGCACCGGAAGATGGAGCTTGGACTCGATTAGATCTCATGTCAAATCACAAGAAAACAGCGAGTGAGTAGCTATCTACTAGTAGAAATTAAAAGGGAAAGGAGAAAGTGTTGCAGCTAAAGAAAAAGATGGATTGAGGCAAGAAAGAGAAGCAGCAACCTCATACTGCTCGATCCACAGGCTGGTCCCGATGGCCTGCTGGTAGCGGTCAAAAATCCCCTTGATGCTGCAAGTACGTACATACATGGAGAAGAACAAGGCCAAGCTGGCTTATATCAGAGAGGTAATTTGGCAGGCAGCTAGCTAGTGATGTGGATGAAGTGAGCTCGTAGTTCGTACTCGGTGCCGGTGCTGCAGAACTCGTGGTACTTGCCGGTGGAGGAGAACATGATGATGGCGACCTGGGCGTCGCAGAGCACGGTGAGCTCCCGCGCCTTCTTCATGATCCCCGACCGGCGCTTGGAGTAGGTCACCTGCCTGTTGGTGGCGTTCTCGATCCGCTTTATCTCGATCTTCCCCCGCCCCATCTCCGCCGGTCGATCCACCTCCTCCGACCCCGCAATCGCGCGCGCCACCGCGAGCGGGCGAGCTGGCTAGCTAGGTCGACCGACTCAGCGAGCGTTGGAGAAGAAATGGCGAGAAGGAGGGGAGATCGGCTAGCTGCTGCTGCTGCTTCTCGAGCTGCTGGTTTGGTTTAGTAAAGGAGGTGGGACGGAGGTGGTGCCGAGTGTGCGTGTGCATTTCGGGGTGGCGAGGACGGTGGTGGGTGGCGCCGGTGGACGGGGACGGTTGCCGAATCCGTGAAAGACGTGGGGAACCGCGCCGCGCCGTGCCTGCCCTGCCCTACCCTACCCCGCCCGCGCGCACGGGCCGTACGACCACCACGTAGCCCCGTAACGCGTATGGTTTTGAGCGCCGTTGCGTGCGTGCGGGGCGGCCGGCCGTGGTTTTGAGCGCCGGACGGACGCGGGCGCGGGTGTATGCCCGGGGGGTATGTTGCTGTGGCGTGGCCGTGGCCGGGCAGCGCTCGGCACAACGGTTAGCACGGTTCGGGCTCTGCGGCCATCATTGCCTCGCTGCTTGGCCTGGCTTGCCGGTCTCTCGACTTGAGGCATGCGCATGCAGAAAAGAGGCCCTATGGCTAGATACCATTCTCCCCTGCATTTCCAGCTTAAGGAATAAAGTATTTCCCCTCTCTTTTCTTCTTTTGTGTACAATAGAAGGGGCATTCTCTCATCTTAATTCTTAACATTTCTGTCATTTGATACATCAAGCTAACATTTCTCTTTTCTGAAGAAAAAAAAGCTAGCATTTCTCTTAGTATTGCTCCGGATCTAGAAATTCAAGAAAGATGGAGCAAGACAGATCCGGTGGGACGGTGTACCTCGTAGGATCTGTCATATGTGTCACGCGGGGACGCGGATTCAATCTGCTAAGTCCCGGGTAACTTTACCATTTGATTGAAAATGGACAGTAGCATCGTGTAGCACAAGACACTGTAGAAAATATCATGTAGCACTTGGAGGATTGGCACCAGTTCTTTGTTGGTGTGAGACGTCGGCCACATATGCTTCTTCTCTGCATCCTCGTGGCGTGGCGACTGGCTTCAATTTGGGGATGGAGGTTGATTGAAAGCTTTGCATGGCAGTGGCCATTGTTATGCCTTCGTGTGTTGTTATCCTTCTTGGAGATCCAGTGTAGTCCCAATTTGGGTCGGCCTCCCCATGTTTACCTACACTTCCCAATGATCTTGCCGTGTTATTGGTCGAAGTGTGATGGTTGCCGGTAGCAAGGTTGAGTTGTGGGTTGATGGTTGCAGCACCACCATAAGTTTTGCTTGGGTTTGGTCATTGCTGTAGATGCCAACGACCCTGCGTGGTGTTCCTCTCCTTGGAGGCATTGCTTGAAGTCCTCCCCCCCTGCCCCCCGCCACCACCGCAAGACCCATGAACCCTACTTGGTTTTTTGGCCATGCGTCGGGTCACTATTGATGTTGTTGTTGATGCTTTTGGGGTCGTTTGTTTGTATAGTTTCAGTGCCACTGTGTGCAATTGGAATCTTAGCTCAGTCGATGGGATCAAGCAAACATATGTTCTCATAGTTCTTATACTACATTTGCTTGTTTCGTGCATATTTTTTAGAGTCTTCCCCTTTTCAATGCTTGCAATTTTGAAAGCCTCTCCTGCCCGGTTATGGTTTTATTATTTCGAAGTCAGCCTCATTTTAGCATTCCATCTAAAGTGTCAAACAATGTGTAATGAAGGACAAAACAATAACTATTTTTCTTGGAATTTAGAGGATATGCCAAGCATATGCGTACGTGCACTTG